AAGTTGGTCATTTCAAATTTCAGATTTTGGCGGATTTTTCTGTTCTAATTTTTGTCTTCTAATTTTGATGTTCCATGAACCTTCCCTGGGGTCATGAGAGAATTAGGGTTGTTAATTGTTTTCGTATCGTTTTAAAAAACGATAGTTTCGTTTTCGGAAAAAATCTTTCGTTTTTGTGAACGACCTGCAATTCTTTTTATACTTTTAGAAAACGAACAACAATCGTTTTTGAAAATGATAGTTTTTATTAAAATTTTTATACAATTTAGCTAAACTACAGGGGTCGTCGTATATATTAAAAAAATGAAGACGACTTTCTATTTCAATTTTTTATTATTACCAATATTTCAAACAGAAGTGAGTGACACATAAACATAGAAACAAAGCGAAGTTGCCAATGAACAGCTTGTCATGGTTTACATATATATATATATATACTTTATAAGTCGGATTTTTTCAACACTAGAATTACATTTTTATTCTAAATTTTTTTAAGGAACCTTTCTCCCTCTAGGCTGAAATTTTTGTAGCCAGGGGTAGCCAGGGGTGTGTCTGAGGTTAAAAAATTTAAATATCTTTTAATTTAGTTTACATAATTATAGTTAATTCTCACCATTAGAAATACAAGTATTTTTATTACATAGTTCTATTTAAGAATGGAAATGCTGATACTGTGTACAGCAGTGGTATCATAGTTGGTACAACTGCTAGTCAAAACAATGCCAACAGTGGGATGAAAGGCTGTCAGAACCCTCATTGTAAAAATAACCTAAGAAGACAACGTTGTGGCTCCAAGACATCCTGCAATTCTGAGTTCGAATTTTATGCTGAAAGACAAGATCAAGGCAAGGGTATATATTTTCTTGAAAATAATGCTTGTGCAAAGCCTAAAAAAATTTGAAAAAATATATTTGGTTAAAAAATATCAAATAGAAGGAAAGCTTGCCTGCTGAAATCAAAATTTGTTTATTTCCCACAAATCTTAAAAAATCATTCACAAGGTAATTATAAAGAATAGATACCCCTGCGTCAAGGGTTGAAGAGAATGCTTGATTCTGATGTTGAGGTCGATTTTAGAGATGAGCTTGAAAGTATCATGGAAGTTTCTAATTGGAGTGAGGAGTTAGTTATTTGCCCAGAAACCCTAGGAACAATATTTTTTACAAACATAAGAAAATATTTTGAAATAATTCAGATATAAAATCTAATATCAGGTTCATAAACCTACCTGACTATACTATAAGACCTTTTCCAATTAAAACCAAATTTTTCTATACAAAAGGATTTTTTTAAAGTTTAATTATAATGTGTAAAAATGTCTGCTTTATCAGCTGTAGATGTATCAACTGTGTTTGAATCAGCTGTTGAAAGATCTGTTATTGAAAGATCAGCCGGTGTAGCTGGATCAGCTGTTGAAAGATCAGCTGGTGTAGCTGGATCAGCTGTTGAAAAATCAGCTGTTGAAAGATCAGCTGTAGAAAGATCAGCTGTTGAAAGATCAGCTGGTGTTGCTGCAGGTTCTGGGTGTACGTCTCGATACTGTTTTGGAGAAACGTTGAATAGTTAGAAATAAGGAGGATAAAACCTTTAAAAGTAAAATTCAAAGCGTTGGAAATGAATTATATTTCAACTTCAAGTTGTTAATATTTCTATTTAGATTTTGAATTTCATCAGTAAGGGACTTAATTTTTTGTTGATTATTCCCAAAAAACATTCTGTAGGATAAGATTAAGGATTGTAATAAATTCAGAAAATAAAGTGATAACAAGAAAACTCTGGAATAGGAAGTTGAATTTTAGACTCAAGTTATGACTTTAAATAGTCAAATGAACATGAAACACATAAGTGTGCAGTGTAAACAACAAAATTCACTTAATACGTAATAAATTATGTATCCGGTAAAGCTATTTGCTTTGTAACAGCATCAGATACACTTAAGTATTGCTTTAATGTCGTCTTCCTATTCTACAATCTTCTGGTTAGCACTGTATCAGTACTTGTAATAAACTTAGAAAATATATGTACGTAACTTTAGTTTAATTTGTAAACTATAATATTTAAAGTATGAAATGTGTAATTCTAGAAGTTTTTTTATTCTTCTGAGTGGCCTGAGCTGAAAACTTTAGAATTGGTGATATTGAGATCAATGCTTGATTTCATTTTTTTTTTATCTCAAGATTGATTTACTCTTCAGTTTGTATCCGGAAAAGTGAAAATTTTGCGCAAAATTTAATACAAAAAGAGGGAAAATAAGCGGAGTAAAAATCAAAATTGTCCGCAGTGGATATTCAGTATTAAAGCTATCCAATTCAAGAGTTCTCAGCTTTGGTCTTATTTAATTATGTAAACAGAAAATTTTAATTAATCTGACCGCGCAAGGTCACAATATGAATTGTTAAATAGAAACTGTTTCTTTCATTTTACTAAAAAGTTAAATATTTAGAACATTTTAGGAGATATTAGTTAGAAAAAGTTGTCCGGAACAATGAACTTTTTAAAATGGCATTTTTCCAAATATGAGAATAAAGATGAGTAGAGAGTAGAGAGTAGAGAGTAGAGAGTAGAGAGTAGAGAGTAGAGAGTAGAGAGTAGAGAGTAGAGAGTAGAGAGTAGAGAGTAGAGAGTAGAGAGTAGAGAGTAGAGAGTAGAGAGTAGAGAGTAGAGAGTCAAAAAGTGATGATCAATTTTAAATTTCTTTCAGCTGTAAACTCATAAACTTTCCTTTTAAGAAAGTTTTCCTGGTTGTACAAATCGAAAGTTTGAGAGAGTATAAGAAAGTTTTAAAAATGTAAGAAAATGTAAGAAAGCTTAGGGACGACTGTACAGAATTTATTTAGTCTTTTTTATTTCATTGACGGTTCAGTAAAAACTAGTTAATTTTTTTCCAGAATATCTTAGTAACCCATTTATAAGTCCAAATTTCACTTTCAGACCGCCATATATACACAGTTTTAGGAGTCATTAAAGAGATTGTGGAAGTAACTTCATAAGACCCTCCATTTATGTCTGATTTACAATGGTACTCTTTTAGTCTTTATATTTTTGTCTGATGCAATGTTGATGGAGAAATCCTTATTTATCTCGCTAAAAATTAAGTGCTTACGTATTTCATTCCTATGGGATCCGTTTCTAATTCTATATTTAATAGATATTTTTTATTTGAATTTTTAAGATTTTTATAGTTTGAGAAATATTTGACGTCATGAAATACACATTGTTTTCTAGTATACAGTAGGAGGAAGGAACTCAATTTTCCACAAGAAAAAGATCGTTGATTAAAAGAAAAAGGTTCAATTGGATACCAGTGTAAGTCGGACATCCCACCGGCCATATGATGACAGGGTCACTTGAAATTACCTAAAGTCACTTTAAATTCTCATCTTAACTGGGCAACCCATTTAAGAAAGCGAAAAAGGGTATAATATACATTTTCAGGTTATAGAGCAGCAGGAGTTAGAGAAATCTGAGAAATTCCAAAAATGTTTGTAATTATGTCTAAACTGATCCCTCTCTTCTATTTATTCATCAGGGTTGGAAAAAAGTTTTTCTCGAGTTAATTAAACAAATACTGTAGATACAGATACAGATACAGATTACAGATACAGATACAGATACAGATACAGATACAGATACAGATACAGATACAGATACAGATACAGATTACAGTACAGATACAGATACAGATACAGATACAGATACAGATACAGATACAGATACAGATACAGATACAGATACAGATACAGATACAGATACAGATACAGATACAGATACAGATACAGATACAGATACAGATACAGATACAGATACAGATACAGATACAGATACAGATACAGATACAATTTCATATACATGGATACAACTACATATATACAGATACATAGATACAGATACATAGATACAGATGCATGGAAACAGATCCATAAATACAGATATATAGATACAAATACATGGATACAGATACACAAATATAGATACATAGATACAGATACATAGATACAAATACATGGACTCAGATACACAAGTATAGATACATAGATACAGATACATAGATACAGATACATAGATACAGATACATAGATACAGATACATAGATACAGATACATAGATACAGATACAGATACAAAGATACAGATACATAGATACAGATACATAGATACAGATACATAGATACAGATACATAGATACAGATACATAGATACAGATACATAGATACAGATACATAGATACAGATACAGATACAAAGATACAGATACATAGATACAGATACATGGATACAGATTTATAGATACAGATACATAGATACAGATACAGGGAAACAGATACTTAGATACAGATGCACGGATACAGATGCATAGATACAGATACATAGTTACAGATACATGGATACGTTTACAGATACATTTAATACAAATATAGATATAGAATTAGGATGATAAAAGAAATCAAACCATTTTTCTAAATAATTAAAGATTAGCTTTTTTTAAATTCTATAGAAGTGCGTGACAAGATCTACAAAAACAATGTAAGCAATAAACTGTGAATGGGTGTAAAGCACTTTAAAAATTTCCTTCATTTCAGGTATTTTGCATTCCTCTCACCAGAGTGCAGTAACAAAAAAATTGCAAAATTTATTTTTCATCCGAAAAAAAACTTTTTTGTTTGTAAATTTTTTTTTGACATGTTGCAAGTTTTTATGTTTTTAGACACCCTGTATTTTGTCCGAGTTCTTGGACTAAAATTTGTTTAAACAAGGGAAATAGGAGAAGAAACTGGAAATAATCATTAAGCTTGTCAAAACAAATAGTTTTAAATGAGAAATAAGTAACATCCGTTTCAGTGATGAGTATTAATAATTCAAAGGGGTTTTCTTCTTTCTTTATTTTATCAATGATAATGACATTTTATTGTTATTATATATAATTATTATTATTTATTTTTTTAAACTTGTTATAAGTAGGTTTTTTAAAAAGGCATTACAAATACATGTATAATAAAGTCTCCGCTTGTATATATATATTTGTTTGTATATATATTAGCTATAACGGGCCAAGCGGCTGAACCAAATTGACTGAAATTTTTTAGGGAACCCCGGAGGGTAACATAGGCTAAAAAATCTAATTTTTTTTTCTTCAGAAATCTATTATTTATTTTCAAAATTCGATTCTGAAAACAATTTCACGGGCAACGCCTATCACTTTAGATAGTATGAAATATACAGTATAAACAATAATATTGGGGGACAATTTCAAATCATCTTTGGCATACGCAGTATTTTTTCATTTGTATGATTTACCTTTTTTAACAATCAAATCGGACGAAAATATTAATATCTTGTCAGAATCAAAATTTATGAAAATGGTTTTTGAAAAATTTGTTATTCTTTTTTCAATAGCCTTTATCTACACGTAGTTATATATAGTTAATCTAAATAATTTCCGATTATAAAACTGTAAATTTTCCAATCCTTTAATCCAACTTACGTCAAGTTTTCACCAAGTTAAATTAATGTGAAAATTTCTGCCGAATTCCTGCAAAAATATTCGCAACTGCAAACTCCAAGCTTATCCCAAGAATCCTGAAATTTATTAAATAAACAAAATTTAAAAAAAGATCTGACCAGTCCTATTAGCAAGGTATCCAATGTAAATGCATTTAAATGCATTCATGACATCACGTGACCTTCCTGACACTTTTTATTCATAATTTTTATGCATTAAAATTCTAAATGCAGTTCTAATTACGAAACAAATAGTTGTCATTGTGATGTGTATGTGTATGTGTGGAGGGGGGGGGGGGGGGGGCCCTGTAACTTTTGTTTTACAATTTTTATAAAAGCGGGTGCTAATCTTGGCTTGAAGGGACGGAGGGGCCACTCCCCCCCCCCCCATCTGATTCTCTAGTTGAGCCTTTGGAGTCTTAAATATACGTGAAAAAAATCCTTTCAAAGGAAACAAAAAAGTTGTCAGTGACCTTAATCATAGATATTGTAGACTTCATGTCATTTGAATCTTCATTTAAAACAATCATGTCAAATTCACAATGGTACCCTTGTCCGATCAAGGATGAAATTCTTCTAGCTTAAAAGATAATTTTTGCAGTAGAGAAAATGTAGGAAATTGTAAGCATTCAACGAGTTATTCAGAAAGTCACTCTTTTATAAAAGGGTTGCTGGAAATTATGGGCCTGAGAAATCCATTTCATAGAGTTTCATAAAAATTGCTTCAAATATAACACAACATTCTTAGACAAAATTCATACATAATCGTATGTTTATGTTAACTGTATCGTATTTAATTTTAATCTATATTTATGTTAACTGTATCGTATTTAATTTTAATCTATATTTATGTCAACTGTATCGTATTTAATTTTAATCTATATTTATGTCAACTGTATCGTATTTAATTTTAATCTATATTTATGTCAACTGTATCGTATTTAATTTTAATCTAT